GCATTGAAAGAGTGCATAATCAGACAAATTAGTCACTGACACTATACCCTTTGCTTTAATCATCATTTAACTGCCATTAGGAATGATGACATTAATATTTGAGCAAAGAGTTTTAATGATAGTCTTAAGGAGCGAAGAAAGAAATGGAGAGATTTAGTTCGAGAATTTTATAACTTGGAATCTAGGCAATGCCACCAGTGGTGGAGCAGAGAGAGTGTGAGGTCAGATTTATCACTGACTCTGGCTGAGATCAGGTAAGTGTTTTTATTGGATTCATTTGTGATTTAGTATGTCTAAGTGTGAAAGCTTCAGTCAGTTTCCAGGAGCTCAATTTACATTGTCTTCACTTCTTTAAACAGGTGAAATATTTTTGCAGCTTAAAACTCCTTTAGAAGAAGTTTACAAAATCTATTGTTACCACCACGGTGATGCCAATAGTTTGCTTGAAACATATGACAAAGATGATGAAATTCGGCGACATTTAAGGAATCAAGTTGATGCTCTGAAGTAAGTACCGGTGGTTTTCTGAGGTGAATGTCAGTTGAGGCCCAGTGGGAAGCAATTTTAACTTCGAACCTAGACATCTGCAACCTGAGAGGCTTGTCCCCCGTTGTTGAGGTTGATATTCCCAGTGCTCTAAGTAAGGCAGTGCTGTACTGTCAGGGGTGCTGTTTTTTGAATGAGCGTCTGCCATTTTAAGTGGAGGAAAACGTTCCTGTTCCACTGTTTCACTTTCTTAAGTTCTCCCTCTGTGTCCTGACAAATATTTGTCGTTCAAATAACATCTGGGGTCATATGGTCAAGAATCAAGTGAGCAAAGCTCCAGAAATGCCTCCGATTCCAACCCTCTGTGTTAACCATTTGCTGAAATTGGACCAGTTCTTCAACAGTATTAGACAATGGTCTTTTTGACATGAAAGTGCCTTGTGAGTTCAAAAAACAACACTTCCCTTGAGGAGAGCATGAATATATGGATCTGAAAAAGTGATAATTAATAGTAGACCTTTTCTTAAGCTACATTGCCTCCAATTTATCAGTTTTAAAATTGCTTTATGTTCAAGTTTTTTTTAACTTGTTTTAATTATGATTTATTTCTTTTAAAAATTAGGAAAATATACCAGGAGCAGTGAGTATACAATTTTATATATAACAAAAAAAATTACTTCCACCTTTTGTTTTTCCTACATCCTGTTGCTCTGGCTCTGGCTGTCTCTCTGAGTACACGATGATTTATACATTAGTCCGTTACTAGAATAGTTTCTATTTGTTCCATGGCTGCTAGTCATCATTTGGTTGCCAGCCAACATGACCATTAATTCAGGAAAATAATCTTAAAATTTCTGAGTAAATGTTTATCCAAGAATCATCGGTAATCCACTAAAGCTAGAAATTGGATTTGTAAATTGGGCTTGTAGTTTGTCGTTACTGTACATGTAGTTCTCCTATAATATGATAGTTGCTTTCTTGTGTGACATCGCACTATAGGAGATAGTGCTATAGAAAATCGCCTTTGAAAATTACTATACCTGTACAGCAGAAAGTTCTCGTTAACCAAGCAGCGTCCACTATTCATCAATTGCGTTACAGCCAATTCGCGTTAATGAAATACGCATTATGGCAGAACTACCTGTACTCCTTTCTTTAATCTTTTGGAATATTGACAACACAGGAGGAAACGCTGAAAAGGGACATTTTTATCGAGGTTTTCGTCTTGCACTCTTTACAAGTTATAACAATGTAAGGGGATCAATAAAAACTGAAAGAACTGCAGATGCTGGAAATCAGAAACAAAAACAGAAATTGCTGTAAAAACTCATCGGGTCTGGCAGCATCGGTGGAGAGAAATCAGAGTTAATGTTTTGGATCTGGTGACCCTTCCTCAGAACTGGGGAATTAATGGGACTCAATGTTTTATATTGTATGGGAAGCCAGTGCTGATAGGTTGGCAAGTTAACTCTGAATTATTGAGGTATTGCCGTGAACAATGCACCAGTTTGATGATGACTGACAGTTTACAGCCAAACCTATAGTTCCAAGTGTTATTATAGACTGGCCTTTTGTACATGGTGCCAGTTTGATGCTGACGATAGAGAACATCAGAGCCATTTTGTGGGATAATGGCTACCCTGATCAGATCATTTCTTGTTGTATATCGTGCAAAATCATGAATGGACCTAGGGCAATGAATTGCGGTCCTGAAAAGTCACCACCTTGTCTAAAATTACCCTAGAAGGGTAAATTCTGTCATAACTTTGGATAACAGGTAAAACTAGTTATTTCACAAGTGGTGTTAACCACTAACAGGATGCTACCATCAAGCTAAAAAGATGTTCTGTTTATCAAACAAATGAGCAATGTTGTATCTGAATTTCAGTGCTAGTGTGATGCCAGGTATATTGGCCATATGTCCTAATGACTGGCAGATTATAACAAGCTATGTGTCTCTTCAGCCGTTCTCAATAGACAAGTTACTGACCGTACCTAACTAGACAATGCTTGCAAAACTCATAACACAATGTCCAACATTAGATGTGATCCCGTGCTTGGACAACTTTTGCTGAAGAATCCTGCGTATGCTAAGAATTATACTGACAGTTAATGAAGAATGACAGTTGGACTCTCAATGAACTTTCACATACTGGAAACTACATAAATTAATATATAGAGGGCAGTTCCATGCAGTCAGAAAGAACATTTATGCATATCATCCTTAAGTCAACACAATATAATAGGCTACAGCCATTCACTGATTCATTCCTTGGGGCAATGCCTTGACCAATGACAGTCAACCCTCATTGTTTAAATCTAGACAAAGCATGGGGTGGTTAATTGTCAGAAATCATCTAACTGTTGTATTCTATATGACAACACCTCTACCAATCAGCGCCCACTTGCCAGCCAAACAGCACTCTTGTCTCACAGAGTTTTGAAAAAACCCTACATAGATATATCTTGCAAATGTCCTGAAGACAGCAAGATGAAAAGATTCAAAAATGTCTGCTTTTCTGCAATTCTCAAGAGCTGTACTACCAAACAAGTGAAAGAAAAATTATTTTCTGAAAGGAAGATGTATGAATTCTGGACAATGTGTAAAGCTACATGTTATATATAAAATCATGAGTTCTGCCTGGAATAAATAGAGTATGGGATTGTAGAATAGTTCAACATGTAATGGATAACATCAAGTGTAAATTGCATTTCTTTCAAAACCATATCAGAATATTTTACAGCATTCCAACTTCATTGGGATCCAAAGTGCTTTTCCCAAGAGAGCAAATGAATTAACTTTCACGAACCAGCAATGTAGGAACAATGTATTCCCTCAGAAAAGCCTAAGAATTAAGAAACTATCTCCCTTGATTCCATCTCATTCCCAGATTTTGCAGCAGGGTATTAACCAACTTTGCTTCACCTCATTGCTGAACCTTTTCCTTTTTCTTACTTCCTCTATCAGGTTGTTTTTTTAGTCACTCAAAGAAACCTGAATCATCTGGGGTAAATACAGTCACATATTTGGGTAAGCTTCCATCCTGGGATTCTTCCCCATTTCCCCCCAAAAAAAGGTCATGTACATGCTATTGCAAAGCTCAAAAGAGGTTGAATTTATGCAAGCATTAATGGAGCACTTTCACAACCTTGGGCTATCTCATTGCGCTTTTCTGCACAGCTCATGAAGTGGAGCCACTTTTGTAATGTAGCAAATCAGGTAGCCTTTTATATTATTCTCTGATGTGGTGTGGTTGTCTAAGATTTGTTGCCATCCCTAAATACGCTTGAACTGTGTTGGCTTGTAGGCCATTCAGAGGGTTGTTAAGAGTCAACCACATGTGGATATGAAGTTACATGTATGTCTGACCAGGTAAGCCTGCTAGATTTCCATTGCTAACTAACATTAGTGAACCAGATGGGTTTTTACAACAATCACTGACAATGTCATGGTCACTATCACTGAGACTAGCTTTCAAGTTCTGGATTTATAAATTGTGTCTAAATTCCGTGGTGGGATTTGAACCCTCAGCCCCAGAGATTTACTCAGTCTCTGAATTAGTCCAATGAAATTAGTGCTTTACCATCATATCCCTTTTCTGCATAGCAAGATCCCAATAATCTATCTTATTGATGGTATTGAAAGCCTGGCTCACTTAGTTGCTTATTGCCTTCCTACTGAGTCAGTCCGAGTTCCACTATGGGAATTGATCATGTGATCTTGATTGCTAAATCAGTGTGGTACTAAATGAGTGGTGTATAGTGTATAATGAGAAGTTCTATGTATTAAATGAGACATTAAGTCAAGACACTGTTCAGATGTATCAAAGGTGCACCAGTCAAAGAAAAACATGGAAGTCTTCCAGTTAACACCTTCCCCTTTATTTTCATAAAGTGACTTTTCTTTAAAAGTAATTAAAAGTGTCCAGAGAACATGAATGCCAGTTTGAATCATGGACAGAACAAGACCATTCAGCCCATTGTGCCTACTGGCTCTTTAAAAGAGCTATTCATTTCATCCCACTCCTCTGCCCTTTCCCTATAGCCCAATAAGCTTTGCCCCCTTCAAGTATTCATCCAACTTCCTTTGGAAAACAAAAACGGAAATTGCTGGAAAAGCTCAGCAGGTCTGGCAGCACCTGTGAAGAGAAATCAGAGTAAACGTTTCGGGTCCGGTGACCCTTCCTCAGAACTGAGTGACTGGACCCGAAACGTTAAATCTGATTTCTTTTCACAGATGCTGCCAGACCTGCAGAGCCTTTCCAGCAACTTCTGTTTTTGTTTCTGATTTACAGCATCCGCAGTTCTTTTGGTTTTCCTCTGGAAAATTCCTATTAAATCATATTTCCACCACCCTCTCAGGCAGAACATTCCAGAACGCACACCTGTTTATTATTAAATCAACTGATAATTATTTATTCATTTTATTTCAATCAAACATTTCAATTGAATCCCATCCTCAACAACTTAAAAACATTCAAATCAGGATCAGGAGGAGGCAACTTATTCCATTGGGCCTTCTATTTAACAAGATCATGCCTGATCAGATTACTCCATGTTCCCGCCTACCCCAGAAAACCTTTCACATCCTTGCTTAACAAGAAATCTATCCAACCCCACCTTAAACATGTTCAAGGACTCTGTTTCCATTTGCTTTTCATGAAGAGAGCTTTCCTTCAGGGAAGGCCATTGCCTAGTGGTATTATTGCTAGACTGTTAACCCAGAGACACCATGGCAGATAGTGGGATTTGAATTCAATAAAAATACCTGGAATTAGGAGCCTAATGATGACCGTGAATCCAATGTCGATTGTTGGAAAAACCACATCTGGTTCACTAATGTCCTTCAGGGAAGGAAACTGCCATCCTTACCTGGTTTGGCCTACATGTGACTCCAGGCCCACTGCAATGTGGTTGACTCTTAGGGAAAGGCAATAAATGCTGGCCCAGCCAGCAACCCCCTCATCCCAGGAATAAATAAAAAACAGTTCCAAGGACTCTCAAGGAAGGATTCTCAAGGAAGGAGAAAAGCTTCCTCACCATTGTTTAAAATGAGTTACCTTTTATTTTTAAGCAGTGATCCTAGTTCTAATTATAAAACATCATAAAAAGTTAAGGCTCCAGCACTGAGATCTTTGGCACACCACTTGTTACATTGTGCCAAGTAGAAGAAAGGCAGATTTATGCCTTCTCTCTGTTTCCTGTTAGTTTATCCAATCATTTGTCAAAGCCAGTATGTTACTGTTTACACCATATGCCTTCATCTTCCACACCAGCCTAACTGCTCTGCACAGGACCGTAAGAAACTACAGAGAGTTATGAATACAGCCCAGTCATCACGCAAACCAACCTTCCATCCATTGACTCCATCTATACCTCTCGCTGCCTTGGAAAGACAGCCAATATCATTAAAGACCCCTTCCACTCCATTTATAATCTCTTCTGACCTTTTCCATCAGAAGATACAAAAGCTTACTCACACATACCAACAGGTTCAAGGGCAGCTCCTTCCCTGCTGTTATTAGACTTCTGAATGGACCTCTCAAATTTTAAATTGAATGTTGATATCTTTCTTTCTCTGCAGTCGTAACATTGTAATCCTCGTTCTGTTCTATTACCCTAATGCACTTTGTGTGGTGGATCTGCCTGTACTGCACACAAACCAAAACTTTTCACTGTACCTAGGTACATGTGACAATAATAAATCAAATCAAAAAAAAAGTTTATGTACAATATATCCACTGGTTCCCCTTTATTAAGGTGTCACTACTTCACAGAACCCCACGAAATGATTGAAATGATTGAAATGATTTCCCTTTCAGAAAGCCATATTCACTGCCTGATTATGTAGAATTTCTCTAAATGCTCTGCATTAACTCATTTAATTACAGGTTCTTACATTTTATTTATGGTAAATGTTAAGCTAAGTAGCCAATAGCTCTCTGACCTCTAGCTACCTCTCTTTTTAAATAAGGGAATTACAATTGTTATTTTCCGATCTAACGTGACATTCCCAAATCAAGGGAACTTTGGAAAATTAAAACCAATGTTTAAACTAACCACTCTTCTTAAGACTCTAGGATGATGTCCATCAGGACCCAATGACTTGTCTGCACACAGCTCCACCTCAGGCCCACTTCCCTAGTGATTGTAACTTTGTTTAGTTCCTCCCTTCCATTTCCTGATTTGTAGCTATTTCTGGGATGTTAGCTGTATTGCACACTGGAGATTGTTGTAAAAGACATTTTCGAGAGAGGGAGTCTCATTTGTGAAGAGTAACTGTTCCAGATACCACCCCTGCAGAGGCTTGTTCTAATTCTGAGGTTACTCTCCTTTCTCTCAACCACCCTGGAATCCAGAATTGGAAGCTACTCTCAGTAATGACGAGCTGGAAATGACCAGCGATTGTTGTAAAAATCCATATGGCTCACTAATGCCCTTTAGGAAAGGAAATCTGCTGTTCTTACCTGATCTGGCCGTAATGTCACTCCAGACCCACAGCAACAGGGTAGAATTTAAATCTTCTCTGAAATGACTGGCAAGCCACTCAGTTTAAGGGCTGGGAATGAAGGGCAACAAACCATAGAATCCCTATAGTGTGGAAGGAGGCCATTCAGTCCATACTAACCCTACAAAAAGCATCCCGCTCAGACCCTTTCCTGCATTTCCCATGGCTAACCCACCTAGCCTGCACATCTCTAGACACAATGGGGAATTTAGCATGGCCAATCCACCTAACCTGCACAGCTTTGGACTGTTGGAGGAAACCAGAGCACCTGGAGGAAACCCACACAGACACAGGGAGAATGTGCAAACTCCACACAGAGAGTCACCCAAGGGTGGAATCGAACCCGGGTCCCTGGCGCTGTGAGGCAGCAGTGCTAACCACTAAGCCACCATGCTGCCCTGTGCTAGCTTTGCCAGTGATGCCCATTTCCTGTGGAAAAGTAAAGAACCAACCTCTGCCACAACCAGAGAAAATAGGGAAATAATATCAGCTCGTTCAATCATTGAACACCTCAAGGGATTGAATGATCTACTCCAGACCCCGTGTCCCTAGATATTCAAAATGAGAGAAAACATTGGTTATGATTGTTTGTAAGTAGAAATGATGAGTATCTGTTTGTGTTTCTATTTCTAGAGGGAAGTCCACCTTGTTGGATATGGGCTCGCTGCTTATTAAGCCAGTGCAACGAGTGATGAAGTACCCGCTGCTATTGAGTGAGCTTTTCAAATCCACTCCAGAGTTACATGCAGACCATAAACCAGTTGGAGATGCGTTAGCAGCGGTGAGGCAAATCAATGTGAACATTAATGAGTTTAAAAGGAGGAAAGACCTAGGTAAGGCCACTGGTGTTCATCATTGTAAATACTTCGACATAAAAGGGAGTTATTCATCATGTGTTTGTTTTAGAGTGAGGAAGTTGCCAACATTCAGTCAAAAAGCAGCCCTAGATGTGGGCAATAACCATCCAAAATCTAACAGAGGGGAATACTCTTTTCAAGACGTTTTGGAAAAAGTTTTGTGTGATTCAATTGGTAGCAAACAAACCGATGTGAAAACAGATTGATGCAACTCCCCAAAACCTTGCTGATGGATTTAATTGTGGAGTCAGACCTGGTAACATAGAGCTTCTGAAATAACAAGGCGTAGAGCTGGATGAACACAGCAGGCCAAGCAGCATCAGAGGAGCAGGAAGGCTGACGTTTCGGGCCTAGACCCTTCTTCA